ATTATGAGGACCTCGCTTTCGAAACACTGTCACGCTTGCATCCCAAGAACCAAGTTGTACGACTACCAATTGTTCTCGGTGCCATAGGTTGTGTACCCCCCAACTGTTGACTGACTGATGAATTTAGAAATTTATAAAGCACATCTAATGCAGGGGTACTTCTTGCTCAAGAGTGCTGCCATGTGTCTCGTTTGGAGAGAGTGGTCTTGAAACCTTTGAAATATTTTAGGCCAAAGGTACTAAAGTAAATTTTGGGTAGGTGGATGGATGACTTGCCTAGCAGGCTAGACTCACCTGGTAGGGAATGTGATTGCTTTAAAAATCTTCCAGAGCCTTACCAGGCAGCTTGAATTGTATACTCCCCAGGGATTTGAGAATGTTTAAATTCACACTGATCTGTTTTCCAGGGTAATAATGTCTTTACGGATGTAGTATGGAGTCTTAGAATTCATAAGTTTTTAAGTTGCCTATTATATAAATATATACTGAACAAAAAAGTTAGGAATCATCAATTTTGGGGTTGATATTTTGTTGCAGTGAAGACCGAGCAAACCATTTCATAAAATTATCCCAAAACATATTCATGAGCCCTTACCTTTTTTCAGTATATATTATTGGGAGCTATTGGCAGTTTCACACCTTGTGTATTACAGCAGAACAGAATAGTGATAGTTTAAACTTAGGTGTCAGCAACAAAGCTTGGAGGAGATATATAGGCTATAAATAGGAGTCCCAGTGTTGTCAATACCAAGTTTCTGTTCTGAAGCCTTGGAGAACAGTAGATGTACAAATAAGCAATGATGTTGCCAAGAATGAGTTAGGGGAGACGTTTTCACAGCTTTACAATAAGCTGCTGGAAGACTGTTCTCTGTACAACTTATCATGTTATTGTTTATGGGGAAATATGAATCTGAGTATGCTGAGAGACTGATTGTTTTTTTAAAGATCTGGTGGGTGGGTGGGGTAGGGGGGTAATTTGTCTTCATAGTACACTGATCATACAGGCTTGTTAGAACTTTATTTCTTACATCATACCTGTCGTCTTTGATGGGCATTTAGAAGTTGAGAGAACATGACACTTTTTATGGATAGCAACTTTGCACAAAGAATAAGACTATAAGCAGAAAAAAGTTGCTATGCATAACAAAGTGTCATGTGTTCATCATTCCTGTCATTACTTGTTTCTCAAGTTGTTAATGTGTCAATCTCATTAAAATCAGATCTAAGTTCTCGCTACCGCTAAACAAAGATCTGAGGACATCCCTTTACGGGTCACGTCAGAACAACCTTGCGCGAACTTTGACCGACCAATGGAATGACCAATCAGAAGGCAGCTTTCTCGTACTTTACGGCACAAATTTCAAATTGGCGACTACGCTTCTAAACATATTTTGACAAATTCTCGATGACAAATTTGAAACCTGAACAAAAAAACCATTCTGGAATGGCTAATAGATGGTCTGGATTGTATGGATTCAGTCGTTAAACCCGTGTTAAACAAGAGATTTAAGCATGGAACAGATGATGCATATTAAACCTTTATTTATTTCATCACTAAATTAAATATGGCATCATGTGTTAAACAAGAGATTTAAGCATGGAACAGGGGATGCATATTTAACCTTTATTTATTTCATCACTAAAGATTGCACCCTCTGTTGTTTAATGCCCCACTCAGCAATATTCCAGCTTTATGATGGTGGTCTGTAAATAATCAAGTCTGGACCAGACAATCCAGTTTTTGACATCATAAGCATTGATCCATGAAATTGGGATATGATGACATGTGTCAACCAAGTCAGTGAGCCTGACACTTGATCCTGTTAGTCGCCTCTTACGACAAGCATAGTTGCCTTTTATGGCAAGCATGGGTTCCTTAAGACCTATTCTAACATGGATCTTCATGGTTTTGTGTTGAACAAAGATGTCAAGCAGTGTGAAACAGACTATAGAAGCAGCACATTTTGCCTGTTCCCATGCAGGTTCAGAAAGCTACAGATTGATTTATGCCTCAAGCACATCGCCAGGTGTGATGTGTGGCCAGATAGTGCTTAGCAGCTGATGTTTTGTCAGTCAGCTGAAGGTGCTGCACTTCCTCCTCACTTGTCAGGTTGTCATCAGGATAATAGCATGTTGTCATCCTTGGCAGCCATTTTGAATGGAAGTAATAGCTCTACTGAGCCATTATAGAGTGTTTCTTTGCTATAAAGAACAATTTTTCAATTAGGCCGTGGCAGTATGATGGTTCATTGTTTTGTTGTTCATTCAAATGTACTACTACCACATGTAGGTCAGACAAGGATGCAACGGAAATGTTTTTTTAAGACAACACAAGCCCTTTAAAATGTACAGCCTGTCACAATGACCTTGATACAAAAATGTTGTTAAAATCCCAAACGGTTTATGTACAATAGATTGTCAATCCTAGATTTTTGTCTCTTGACTCTTTGCTGTTGTCTTTCAAAAGACAATTGAAATTATTTCTTTGTTAAAACATTTTTTTCGGAGATTTATATACAATGTTTTCACTGTTTGAACTTCCTTGTATTAGTGTGTTAGGATTAAATTGTAATGTCATATTGAAAGTAAGTTCCTTGTGTCTAAGCATGATTGCTAAAGGGCACACCTAGAAATATGATTTTTTTAACAAAATACCCCGTGCCAAATAGTAAATTTCTGTTTGGTATAGTAAGCTCTGGGAATAATATTCCATATGATAATTTTTCTGAAAATGATGCTTAGACCATTATTTAAAAGTGTTTGGCGCAGACTGATACACTTAATCTGGCTCATGACTATAGATACAATCTATTCTTGTTGGTGCACTTATTTAAGAGTTCCTTGTTGCACACTTGAAAACTTTCATTGTTATCTCTGGTTATGATTCTAGCTTAGCTTCCTCTACATGTCGTTTTGATAAATTCGTTATTCAGCAGGAGTTGATGTGTGGTTTGTCATAGAAATGCTTATCTGCCATTCCTCATTAACCAGGCGTTGGGGTAGCCAAGTGGTTAAAGCTTTTGCTTGCCTCTGGCCTCCCCAGTCGTGATATTGCTGGATTGTTGCTGAAAGAAGTGTATTATCTCACTCACTCTCTCACTCACTCACTCACTCACTCACTCACTCACTCACTCACTCACTCACTCACATCCTCACTCGCTCACACCCGACTCACTTGCTCACATCCCCACTCACTCACTCACATCCTCACTCGCTCACTCACATCCTCACTCACTCACTTGCTCACACCCGACTCACTTGCTCACATCCCCACTCACTCACTCGCTCACATCCTCACTTGCTCACATCCTCACTCACTCGCTCACATCCTCACTCACTCACTCACACCCGACTCACTTGCTCACATCCCCACTCACTCGCTCACATCCTCACTCGCTCACATCCTCATTCGCTCACATACTCACTCACTCACTCACTCACTCACTCACTCACTAACTCACTCACTCACTCACTCACTCACTCACTCACCCCAGTGGTAAGATCCCTACAAACTGTGCTGGTTGTAGAGATTATGTGGGTATCGGTTGGTCACAATGGCTGTTTTATGCTTCACATAGTACACCGGGAATCTGGGTCAGAATAGTTCCCAATTACTCTTTATACCTTAGGTTTGTCATTAGAGCCAACTAAACCTTGGATCGTGTTTCATCATTGTAAGTGTTCTGTTATTGATGTGATCAGCCAATCGATACACTTGCTGTCATGGACCGATAAATAAATATGCAAATGAAGTCACCTAGCAGGAACTACTTTCAAGCTTCCTCCATCACTGCTATGCTTTCTTTGTCATTAAACTATTAACTAACACTCCTTGGGTGTCCCATTGACGAACACTTAGTCTGAAAATATATAATGTTGAAAGAAGATTCAGAAGGGGGCGATGGGATAGCCTAGTAGTTAAAGTGTTTGCTCGTCAAGTCGAAGACCCGGGTTTGATTCCCCACATGGGTACAATGTGTGAAGCCCATTTCTGGTGTCCGGACTGTGATATTGCTGGAATATTGCTAAAAGTGGCAAAAACCATACTCACTCACTCTGAACCTAAGAGAAACCTAGACTTGTTCCTTTGAGGACTACAGCATTACAGAAAGGGCTGGGCGAAGGGGGAAATAATATGGTTCAGGGTCTGTCAGACACACTGACACTAGTGCTTGTCAATGTGTTGTGGAACTATGACAACAAACATGGCTGCAAGTCATTTGGTGCTATATGATAAATTGTGTGGTTTACTCGAAACTTGTATTCATACACGGTTTCTGAAGCTACTTTATTGAGTGAAATTACACCTTAATCATCATTTATTTTAAGATGTTTACTTGTTTCCATATCGTGCATATAGAATATTAGGAATAAAAGACATGTATCTTGCATGCCAAAGGCTCACATAATACATTTTTTATTCCGAATACATGATATTTACTATACAGAACACACTTGGCTAATAATTTCTTGACTGTGTGACTTAAATTGGCTTAGTGCTTGTCATGGTAGAAAATGTCAGGTTCAGTGTTAACCAACATTCACTCATTTGGCAGATTGGGTGTATATTTACCTGTGACACTATCTTAAGGCTGTGCATCCACAAACTTGTGGAGAACACAAGGAGAATTCTATCTGGTGTTCTTTATAGACCTCCCTCAAGCTTCATGTTGAGCCTCAAATGAAATCATTATAAGTTTATGGTCTGATGTCATTAGGATGACACCGACATATTGTTTCAGAAAAGAATTCTTTTTTATATTTTTCTGTTAAATTGTCTTTTAATATATAATGGAAAGAAACTGAGAGAATCTCTTCATTTCACTGAAAAAGTCTAGACTTGCTAAAGTAATGTAGACTTACTTGGGTTTTTTAATGTTTTGTTGCAGGGTCTGTATGAGAGGCAACCTTACAATGCATTTATGTTAACACTTCAAACAATTTCAATTTTAGATGTATATATTTTCATTCTTGATGATGTTAATCATTTGTTTTTCCAGGTAAGCGATGGGAAGAAGCTTCGGCCTAAGGTCAGCAACTGTTTTGGTAAGTTGAAAGATTGTTTACTTCCTGCTGGTTTACAGCAGGCCAGTCTTTTCCTTCAGCCTAGCAGAGCTACAGATAAACAGCGTATTTGCGCAAAATACCCCCACAAAATATTCAAAACCCAAATAATTTCTATTAACTTGCGTACAGAAATGTATGCATTAAATAAAATACTAAAATGTATAAATACAGCTCGCGTAAATACCCAATGAAGCTTTTTCAGCAGGCGTTCAAAGGAATTAATTTCCGAAACACAATTACAAGCTAATTTACTTTCTGAATCAAGCCTATATATTTAGAACAGCTATATACATCTAAAACATTATTTCATTTTTTTTAAATCTTAAAATGTTCACTAATTTTGGGAAAAACCCAATTTGAGTGAGGAATAGGTGAGTGAAAAAATATTGGTTACCCAATGAAAAATGTAATAACCCAATTAAAATAGAAACCTTAGAGTAAAAACTCAATTGCTTAAAAAGTTATCTGGAGCTCCTGGCCTAGGCAGGTTTTATCAGGTCCTTCTGTCTTGTGAACCATTGTTGGAGCGCTACAAACAGAAGTAGAAGTTTATTCATATATAAAGGTCACATGGCCCAGAGTTAATTATTATGAATAATATATGCTATGCAAAAGTTTAAAATATTTTTAACATTTGTAATTACATAGGTAAATGTCTTTTTAAGCTACAAACAGAGATGCCAATGTTTTTTTTAAGCAATCGGTACAATATTTTGCTATTAAATTTTGACGATAAAATGAATATGATACAAACTTTGTTAAAAACAATCACAAATCCATCAGATTTGGAAGTTACTAATAGAGCTGTTTATGTCAAATTTTTGCTGCTTTAGAAATGAAGCCATAGTTGCCCAAACATTAAACATGAATATTAAATTTTAAGGAATCAAACTAAGAAAATACGCTTCTTTTTGTCGTGACATACATGGGTTCCAAACACCATAGACAATATCTGAGTTATGATTACTGATATCTTGGCAAAAGTACTGATTTTAGATCCTATCCTTGATAATCCTTACTTCCTCAATTTGGTGTTGCATCTCTGTAACAGGTGCAAGAATTCTGTTGTGTAAGTGTCATACAGAAATGTACCTAGGGTATGAAGAAGCCTGTTCCAGGTCGATGTACTGCCGTGTGCTCTGGTACTTACGCTATAGCGTATTTCATTGCAGGACTCAACACATGCCTGAAAGTAAACGTGACATGAATATTAACATGTTTCTTGTGGTCTTAACCTTGTTACAAGGCCCGGGAGATTGTTACGGGTAACAGGTTTTAATCAACTGGGTTAATCTATGGTGTAATGAAACAGAAAGTTGGGCAGTCGGGTCAGGATATGATCATACAAGTGCCCTTTTCCTTTATATATGTTATGACTTGACAAGATTGAATGTCATATCATGTCCTCCTTTGTTTATTTGTCGCAATCTCAAGTACCGGGCAAACATTTTTCGCAGGAACCTATTTCAGAACTTGTTTAAGCCTCATGTAGCTTTCCTTAGGTATATCACTCAGTAATGAAGTCTGATTGGGAAACTTTGTACAGAGTTGCCTCCCTTAGCTGCCAGGATCTGCTATAGCACATGCTGACTCCAAGCCAGCCAGTCCTTCCCTTATGCCCTTAATGCCGAACACCAAGCAGTTTAACAAGTACCATCTTTTAAAGTCTTTGGGTTATGACTTGACAATAATAGCTTATATTTGTTAATAACTCGTGTTATTTGTGGCAAATTAATCCAGGAATAATGAATGATAATGTATGAAGCCTTTTTTTTGTGTCCCCCACCATCATATTGCTGGAATACTGTTTAAAGCTGTGTAAAACCATGTTTACTCACAGTAGAGGGTGGCTGTGATAGGTTAGTGGTTAGAGGGGTGAGATCGTTACGTCGGAGGTGTGTGTTCCATTCCCTACGTCTTTACGATGTGTGAAGCCTGTTTTCTGTGACTCGCCATCATATTGCTGGAAGCTGTACGAAATCCTATTCACTGACAGTAGAGAAAAGACAAGCACCAACATGATTTGTAAACAAGACAATCTAAACCTGACACAGGTAGTGGACAATGGTGACGAATTGAAACAAACGACAACAAGATGCAACTTTTGTTTATTTTGTCCGAAATCAACATCATGGACCCCATTTCCACATTGTCTCTCATAAACCACGTTGAAGGGATGTGCAAATGTGGGGATATTCAACATGGGGATTTAAGGGGTAAACACGAGTGTTGATCGTATGCAGTGACTGTGTGTGTGAAACATTGTGTTCAGCTATCAAAGCGTGTCTCTAGACTTTTGATGTGTGCCTGTTGGAAGTATGCCATCTCTACACAAAGGATTATCTAGAAAGAGGAAGGAAAATAAGTCAAGTCTCATACACAGGTCAGCCTTGATTATACCCACTATGTCAACAACATTTTCCAAATTCTAAATGTTATAATGTATGCTATTATGTTAATGTGCTTGTCAAGTTCAAGGGGGTATTGTACGGTCTGTTAGAGGTCTTTACTATATGGCTGCAATATGGCCAAAATTCTGTAAAATTTAACTCACTCACTTTTAGAGGTCATCATCAAGCACTCCAAAATGGTCTCCAGACTGATAGTATCATGTGAGATGAATATATCATGATTCAGAATTCCCTTCTTGCACAGGATGTTTAAGAGTCAGGAAATCTTATGAGGCATTGTTGATGATTTTTGCAATAAAACTAAGCAGTTGTGTTAAGGTTAAAGGTTACAATGTGTGAAGCCCATTTCAGGTGTCCCCAGCTGTGATATTGCTGAAAGTGGCGTAAAACCATACTCATTCCCCATTGTGAAGCTAGCATAATGACAGTCTTATCATTTCTCTGCTACCAAACACATGATAAAGCTTTATGTGTTTAGTATGTCTTTCTATGTAATCATATAATGAAATGAAATATGAAATAAATAACCGACCTATATTGTTTGTGGGTAACATTATGTGCCAGCAAACATGGCACTTCATTTTTCACACATTTCAATGAAAAGAATGAATAGCCAAAATATACAGTGAAAACTTGTAAGCAACTGAGATAAGAAAGTGTTCTTTACTACTCCACTTTTGATAGGGATATTGTTGTCTGTACATCTGCTTATCCTTATCAAAAGTTGAGTAGTGTATACATGTATGTCATGACTGACCTTTTCAAGAGTAAATATGCACACCACAAGGTTTACATGGGTCTGAGTCATGTCAGAAACCCATAATTGTGGGTTTGAATCCTGGTTGCCCCAATTATGTTTCTAGGTTTGTCAGCACCATAACCGTGCTCATGGGTTTCACCAAAGTGGTAAACGTCTGAGACCTGCATCACTTCAGGCTTTCCCCTCACACTAAGCTGACACGCCGTGATATAACTGGAATACTGTTTATGTTGGTGTTAAACCCAACTCATTCACTCACTGATGTCATATCATTGTACATGCTCAGAATCCTTTAGCTAATTATGTAAGGCGTTCAGTGTTAGATTGACAGAAAATCCACCACTGACACTATGAACGTGGAGTGTATCTCTGACCACAGTCATAATGTCAGAACATGTCTCATGCAATCTACAGTTTGGATTAGTTTTATTAGATTCCAATGGCCGAATTTATTTGCATCCACCAAGATTCGCTCTGTAATTTAATTGCATCCCGTCACAATTTGAGTGCATATTGGATGCAATATTTTGTGTCTGGTAAAACCTTCAATAAATCAGCACTTCATTGACACCTAGGACCATGTAACTAATATTCTAAACTAACAAACCCACATACAAGGCCAAAGTCCAGTGGCCTCTTCCGGATGTTTGTTTGTTTGTAGAGAATATTCGTTACATGGTCCTCTTCATGTCTTGAAATATGAAACTGGAATAGGCAGGACTTTGTCATCTTCGGAGAGCAGTTAGATGAACTTGAAAGCCATGGAAAAATATTAAAAGATCAGGACTGATTTGTTAGCCTAGAATACAATGTATTGGACTGAAATTCAAATTCAAAATGTTATTGATGGGAAGTTTGATTTGTCATTTACATCATTAACCGAATTTGGGTCGAGAGAGTTTAGGATCACACACAGGACCTGGTTTGCGTCACAGCCAGGAGGTCATGTTGTCCTTCCCTGTTGTGTTAGGCCAGACCTTCATTTTTTTAAGGCAAACTTTGGTTGATAGGTCAAAATAAATAAATAAGATGCTTTCAACAGGTTTATAGTGTCTTTCAGGTTTGTTTGGATGGGGAGGGGAAAATGTCTCGTCTCGCTGGTTTTGGGTCTTTAAACGTGTTAAAGAATATCTGGCATTTGACTCCAGTGTTTTATGTTTCTATAATATGTGTTTCTGTTTCAAGAATTTAAAAATGCACTTAAGACTAGCTATTTTTATTATCAAAACAATTTTTACAAACACGGTCTAAAAAACTTTCTGATTTTTTTTTCTCCCACAATTTTCTGGGTGTTTTTTTTGTTGGTGGATCTGTAAATCGGGTGAAAAAAATGTTAGGCGTTAAGTGTTTTAATATCTACACACACCCTCATCACTCTCCATGACACCATGTTAATTACCCAGTGACATTTCTCTAACTGTTGGTATTCCTTTTCACCGAGTTCAGCAAGATCCTATTTTCACATGGTTGAGACAGATTTCAATTGATTTGTCAGAGAAATTGCATATTTCATATTTCAGTCATCAATGTGGCTGGGCGCCGGTATTTTATGGAGGCAGAAGATGAAGATGACAAAACAGAATGGATAGAGGCCCTCAACAACGCCAGCAAGATCACGGTAACCTGACTGAACATACCGTAAAACCTCTGCTAAATATGCAGTTTGGATAGCCGAAACTCTAGTTACTGTTACAAGTAGAAGAAAAAGTGTTCTCAAAGGATAAAGACACCTGGGTAGTTGGGACCAGATTAGGGATTCACCATTGGATATTAGGAGTGGGGTGGATTTATACAAAAGTGTAATTGTTGTTGGAAATGAAAAGACAACAAAGCAGTGACAATAAAGGAATTCTGTCTCATTCAAAAATCCCTATCTTTTGTTAGGCTGGTGTTTTGTTTGTTTGTTGGTTGGTGTACATAGGTGATATTTGAACAAATAATGCCATTTAGAAAGTGATCAAATGTAGCAAATGTTATATTTGGGACAACACTCTCTTAGTAAAGTGGGGCGGTCGGGTAGCCCAGTCGTTAAAGCGTTCGCTCGTCACGCCGAAGACCCGGGTTCGATTCCTGACATGGGTACAATGTGTGAAGCCTATTTCTGGTGTCCCCGCCGTGATATTGCTCTCACTCACTCACTCACTTACTCACTCACTCACTCACTCACTCACCCACCCAAAACCCACCCACTCACTCACTCACTCACTCACAGTAAAGTACAGGTTCTAGTATTTTTTTAGGTTGAGTCCTATGCGGTATTTGAACTGTGATATTTGAGGTTGATATGTTTAATCATGTATCTATCTCAGAGTAGACAACTTCATGTAGCACTGTCCACAGTCCAGATCTGCATGCAGATAATTTTTTTATGAAAGATTTGTCATTTATGATGGCTCTCAGTTAATACTTTTATCTTCAAGGTGTACAATCTATGAACGTTGAACATTTGGGATAAAGATGAGAAAGATAAACACATTTTAATTATCATTTTAGGCTATTTGATTGTGGTAGATATCCTTTTCTTTTCGGCATGGACAAATGCTATTATTTGTAGGTTTTTTTCTGCTCAACAAAATAACAAAAAGCCCAGTCAACACATTATGTTTTGTCAACAGCCATTGCACCAAATGTCTGACAATATTTTAGAGTGGTAAAGGATCATAATACCAGTTTATTAATTCTCAGAGAAACTAACTAAACCTTACGATGTTCAGAATGTTCATTCCCGTGAAGATCCAGAGTAGAATAGGTCTTCAGCAACCCCTGCTTGCCGAAAAGGCGAGTATGCTTGCCGTAAGAGGCGACTTATGGGATTGGGTGGTCAGGCTCGCTGACTTGGTTGATTACCCAATTGTATGGATCGATGCTGATGATGTCAATCACTGGATTGTCTGGTCTGGACTGTATTAGTTACAGACTGCTGTCATAGAGCTGGAATATTGCTGAGTGCAGCGTTAAATGACAAACACTCACTCACACTCAGATTGTTTCATGTTCATAAATTTCATCAAGATTGAGCAGTTCTAATGATGAATGGCAGATGAGAGTCAATGTCTGCTTGTCTTGTGTCAACTTCGCTTTCACCAGTGTTCGGTGAGTGACTATATCACCTGTTCACCGACAGGTCCCTCAGGATGATGCAGTCAAGAACCTGCGCACAACAGAATGGCAGGCACGCGACCTAAGTCAGAAGTCCTATGTGACCGAGATCGCTGGCGGTGTGGTGTGTAAGATGCCAGTGCAGGTCAGTAGTGCCACAGGAGTTGTCTCCCTTACATATTTCACCTCCCAGCCACTGAATGTGTTCTCGTGTGTTACCTGTAGGAATCTGTATACTATAGACTTTGGGGAAGACAAACTAACATAGAGTCTTGCTTGACAATGGTATAAAGATCTATACCGAAACATCGCCTTTACAGTAAATAAATAAGTTGTTATCAATAAATTGTGTCTACTTTGTCATCCGTCAACTTCTAAGTAATGCCTATCAAACAATAGACCTGAAGGTTTATTATAAGGCACATTTGACCACATCAGGCTACAAATATATCTCCTGAGGTTCCCAATATGTTAATGTGTCTGTTCACTGTTCATGGGAGATGCTTAGTAAAGGCATTCTATACCATTTATATATCCATTCATCAACCAAAACAGAAATTTGCCAAGTAACTAATTTTTTCGGGGTTTTTGTTGTTGGTGGCCCATATGTAAAGAGTAAACTTATTTGCCAGTGCAGCTTATCAATCTGATCAGATCCGATTTTGTTCGAATTCAGACCTGTCAACCCCTCATCATGACAATGTGGGAGATTTGACTTCAAAATGGGGGAGATTTGCCTCCAAAGGGGGAGATTTTTAAGATAGTGAAGATAAGATAATTTCCAACTTTTATTTTTAATAATGTTACAAAGAAAACCAAATATTTTGAAACAATAAATAATCAATAAGTTTCTTATACGTACAGCTTGCTTAATTTCCGTTTGCATTTTCCTCCTCCAAAAATAAACCCAGCACAATCTACCCATATAACTTTCGTTCAAAGATCATCTCAGATAAACGCAAACAGATATTGAAATTTCACAATCAGTAGCTTGACCAGTTGACGACGTGTTCAATCCGACCAGTTGTCAGGCTTCGTTACGATGCAGGTTTTCTGAGTATTTGGCGCGATGTTGGTTACAAAATTCGCCAAAGAAATATCAAATGCATTTATCCTGACGCAACATCATCGCCCTTAGTTTCAATAAGATATACTGGTTTTTTTCTGTCTGCGGTAGTCTGTTGACAGTCCCATTACTTTGCTTCTTAAATTTCCTAGAAATGTTCACGTTATTCCATTCCAAGAAATGTATGCCATATTTGGAAGTACTATTACGTTTTACTACAATTTATGAATGAAATGAGTCTCGTTGTCGTTGTTGACCTTTCTGATCTTGACGTGTATTAATCTCATTGGTTGACTAGTACTGTTGTATGCAAATTAGATTGCAGATCTGGGACGCAAGCAAACTATTAGCCAATCAAATCGTGTAAAATAATCACATGATACATTCTCGCAAAATTTGATAAAGTTCTGTTTTGATATTTTCTGTGCACACAAGTCACGATGTCAGTCAAAAGGAAATTTGTAAGTTTCACGTTAAACTTTGACTTTGAAATCCTGCTGTGAGGAAGCCTGATCGTGTAACTCATTGTTATTTCGACTACCGAATCAACCAATCACGCATAGTGTTGTTTCTGAAGACGGCGCTTGCAGGACATATTTTGTTTTCATTTCCAAGAGTTCATTGACGTAACTTTGAGGTATGTTGATGTTTTAACAAAGTTTCTGACAAATCTGATAACCAATAAAGTCATGTATAACTGGACCGGCCATATGTATCTACGTTCTTAAATTATGGAAGAATAAACACGCTAAGAACATGAAGACAACAGTTCATTTCATGAAGTGATGAATACTTGGCTGATTTTTCATTTCAAGTTCAACCCTTCAGGCACCTGTTAGGACTATCCGAGTTTTCTTAACAGTTTACATTGTTCAATCGTTCACCATATGAATTTACTGGACAAAGGCCCATCTGGGTCCCCCTGCGGGTGGCTGTGATAAGGGTCGCTAATCCGGGAGCCTACCGGACAGATCAGGACGCAAACTTCCCGTTCATTGTTTTCACTCACGGGACAATGAGGCGATTTTTTTAAATAATGAAGAATTCTGTTTTGCGGGAGAAATAGTCCATCTTGCGGGAGACTGGGAGATTTCATCAAATTGCGGGAGTCTCCCGCAAAATGCGGGAGGGTTGACAGGTCTGTTCGAATTACGTGTCTTGTCATTAGGTTCTGTTCATTGATTAGTACAACTGTATCCATGGTGATGTTTGTTCCCCAGACTGGCGAGGATGTGTCTGGTGAGAGCAGTAGTGAGGATGAGGAGTCCACGAGTCGGTCCTCCTCCTCCGGACGTGTCTCCCCTTCCAACTCGCTTTGTCGTACCCTCGGTGAGGCCCCTCGGACAACTTCCTCAAGGGGGAGCACGTCGCTGAAGGCAGGGTACGGGGTCAAGCAGGGGGCAGTTGTAAGTAGCTTCATCTGCTGTAGTCCCCATTTAGGACCCATTTGGGTTTGCCGATTATTTTTTATTTGTAGGATTGGAGGAAAAATAAGAAAATCACTCTTTGTTGTTTTTCCACCGACATGTAAACAAAAAAACACCATAAATTGGGATTATTCAGTGATTATAATTCGATGCTCATTTTGGCATTCATATTTCACCATAGTCGGCAATCCAAATTTCTTGCCTTTTTCAACCATCAGAAATGATCTGGCCATTTTCCTTAAAAAAACATGTCCTCTGCTCTAATGATATGTGGTTAAAGTGTCTACAAAAGTGAAATACTATGAACTGACAAGTCTTATTTGTTGTTCCAGAGAAAAAGTTGGAAAAGACGTTTTTTCCTTCTCCATGAAAATGGATTTAGCTATTATAGGAATGAACAGGTGAGGACTTCATTGACAAAGATGAAGTAATATGTTGATGTGATCTAATCACAAGATGCAGTCACTCTATGAACATAGTGATATTTCTATACAATTCATGTCAAAAGAAACGCGAATACCATGCATATTTGTTAAGACTTACTCCTATTCAAGAGATATTAGACAACATACTGGTATGTTGTGTGAACCGATGCTCATGAACGCATCACATGTGACGTCAAAGATCCATGACTCGAGATGCACCATTTGTCTCTGGCAGGATTAGCGTGTAAAGTTTGGAAATCATGTGCAGCATATTGTGTTTAGAATATAGTCACTCTGTCGTAACACTTGACTTTTTTTTCATAAATTGGTTAACATTGGAAACTTCTCTTCTGCTAGGGTCAAGAGTTCTACATCCTCGTGTCAAGCTTGTTGACACCTTCTCCGCAAACAAATCAGTGAACTGTTGGTTCAATTATTTTATAGGCTTTGTACTTCCTTAATGCCAGTCAACAGAGTAAACATATAAACAGTATGTTGCTTTTAGGAAAACACTGTTTATTGTATTTACGGAACTGCTCTACTCAGTGCTAATAAGCGGTGCTGTTTGCTGTTTGATTGGATTAAGGTAAGGATGTGTATCATTCCACTTGGGATGGGTGGGGGGAGTCGCATTGATATTGAGTCGCATTTTTGGCTAGGGGTCAGCAGTCGTATTAATATTGGAGACGCATTGATTTCCAGATTTACAGTAATCAAACAAGGGGCCTGACCTGCAGTACCCTACAGTTGGATGGCTTTATACAGTGTCGGGAATTATGTTAAACTCTTCTTCTGTTGCACATTCCATGTTTCTGTTTTCAGGACAAAAGCCCGATTCGTACAGTTCCAGTGTCTGAAATTTTAGAAGCCAGACAATCATCAGGGTAAGACAGTTTCAGATGCAAGAGATAATTATTTAATTCAGGAAAGACTTCAGGAAATTCTGTTTTCAAAAAACACCAGAAGTGACCAAGAGGTTTGTGTCAATACAACTCAATGTAATTGCCCTTGGCACATACAAGACCTCTCTGTTTTGATACTCAGTTCACCAGTGGTGAAGAGCTGTGAACTGCATAAGTTTCATCTTTCCTCAAGAATTAAACCAATATTCAGTGATGTAACTGAAGTCAAAGCCACGTTTAATCCATATCACACTCATTGTTTTCAAAAAAGCAAAATAATTTCTTTGGATAATTTCAAATACATGTCATTGTGACAGTGAACATGAACATATTGTATGTAGGCCTGCCATACTCAAAAGCCTGTACATATTTACTCAGAACTGACGCTTGATCAAAACTTATGGGGGAACTTGGGCCACAGGAGTCAAGGGATGTTAAGCTCCCAAGAGTTGCCTCCCTTGTGACAATTAAGCTCCGTAACCCTTAAACCACCTTGTGTAGGGGAAATATTTTCATTTCATCTGATTATTTCATGATTCAACACTGAATATGACATTTTGTTATATATTTTTTTGAACTTGCTATGTTGTTCTGTGATATATTTGCTACAGAATCTGGTGGGACATAGGCTTCAGTGAGAGGGTGATATATCACTCCTCTTATCTGGCCATGTTGTTATCAATATGTGATAGAACTGTCTACTTGGTCTGAATGTATAACTGTTCTCTTTCTTGTTTCAGTGCTCATGTAAACAGGGATAATTTATTTGAACTCATCACATCAAAACGGATATTTTATGTACAAGTAAGTAAGTCTTAATGCCGTCAGCCTCCAGGCCTAGAGCCTTGACTCACAATGGGTTCATAGTAGAGTAGGTCACCTGTGCCTGGCTTTGGAGTACGAGCGACCAGTGAGGATTTGTTGTCCACAGTGGCCGACCTGACTGATTGTGTGTTACTGTGCCCCAGATTACAGATTCAATCTCGTTAAAATCAGATCTTAGGACATCCCAGTAAAAATACATCTGAATCATGGATAATCTCGATTTCTTGAGTGTTAGTAATAAGGGCTGTTACGATTCACTCGCGTATTCGGTGAATCGAACCGTATCCATTCATGAATTGAATTTGTTATTCGCGGTCACTAGAATCGAATTTTCAGGAATATGCAGTCATGTGCATTTACATACTCTGACCCTTAAAATATCCATAAGAACATATTATATGCATAGATTTCTTGAGTGACAGTATTTTAGTCACTGGTCATTGTTGCATTTGAGCAGACTCTAGTACCTGGATAAGTGAAGTATATTCATGTATAATAAATTAATAATTTACAAGCCATGTCAAATAATTTATTTTGTTATTGTTTCACTGAATATAATAAATAATACATCAACTGCTGACTTGTTATTGTATTCGTGAATAAATATTCGTATTCGTATTCGTTACCCTATATTCATTATACGAATTGTATTCGCCTTATAGTGTATTCGTTGCAGCCCTATTGGTAATGTCTGTGTTCTCCTATGTTCTACAGTGTGATACACCCGACGAAATGCTCAGCTGGATTGATGCCATTCGTTCGCTGCTCCGGAGTCGAAAGATGGAAGAACGAAAGGTGACAACACTGACTCGGTCTCTTTATAATGTACTATTGAGTTGACAGACAGCATCACCAAACCATCACTTTACTCCCACATAATGCTGATTTAACAACAATCCCGGTATATAGTAAAATATCGTCTAAAATAGAATTATTTGTGTCAGATTTCAAATTTTAAGCCATAAATGCTTTTCTATAATGACCAATGGGTGATCAAGAAAGCTGGTTGACCTCAAAGATATTCTTTAATCTCATGCATGCGATATCTCCTTGTATTGGATAAGACCGTCTCCGTGGCCTAGTGGTAGGGCATCCGCCCGGAGAGCGGAAGGTCAGAGGTTCAATCCCCGGCCATGTCATACCAAGCAGCCACACACACACACACACACACACACACACACACACACGCATGTTGCTATATAAGTGCAATAATCTTGGACGTGATGTTATTCCCCATTTCGGGGGGCATGGGTGGCCCAGTCGTCTGAGGCGCCGTGATTCACTGTGCAGAGTTGCGTCCCTTGGGCACGCCAGAAACCTATGATTCTGGGCTCGAATCCCGGTTCGCCCCGATTATGTTTCTAGGTTTGTCAGCACCATACCCATGTTCGTGGGTTCACCAAAGTGGTAAACGTCTGAGACCTGCATCACTTCGACTTACCTCCCACACTAAGCTGACACGCCGTGATGTAACTGGAATACTGTTAAAAGCGGCGTTAAACCCAACTCACTCACTATTCCCCATTTCACCTCACCTTGTATTGAATAATACATGTTATATCCCTTTCAGTCTATGCAAGATACAGAAACCCACCAAACACTAGAAGATGACATCTGTGGCAAGACTTACCCCAAGGAAGTGTGGGTATGACACAACAACATTGCATGCCTTGGATGTCAATTTGTGTTGATGGACTGACAACTAGTTTCATGCACCGATCTTGTTTTGCATTTGACCTTTTAACCCCAAAGACTGGAGATGAGCCATTGTTGTTACAACCGCATGCTCTCGTCCTGGTGTGTCTCACATGTATGAATCATTGTATCATGTATTGTATGGGGATCTTGTATCATTGTTGTATGGGGATCGTATCAAAGGTTGAAGTGTCTTTTATGTATATTTTCATCTTGTTTTATTCATAAGCGGGAATGTGATAGATACAGAAAACAGATGTTTTGTCAAAGGAATTAGTTGTGTCAACCAAAATACATTCATCACGACATGAGATATTATGATCGCAATAAATAGAAGCTCAAAAGTGTTAGTATTTAGGGGTTCAATTACAATTCATAAAAGAAATATAGAGGGTTTTTTGTTTGAAAACTTGTTCCAATGTTTGAATAATATTGATATGATTGGAATAACATACAAAAATTGTGAAAGAAAGAAGCACGCTTTTTGTCCATACAGAACCTCTTAAACCATCAGTGCCCCCACTGTTAATGTGTGCACTGGTAGTTGTAGAGAGGCCCTTTTAAGGTTGTCTTGTAGATTCTGGGTGAGAAAGGTCCCTAGCAGCTCATGCAGCTCGTAAGAGAACATCAAATTATTAATCTGGTGATAAGCTGTTTGTGAGGGGCTGATTGTGTGCTGTTGTTCCCATCAGGGACCACTGCTCATACTATCAACCGCTGGTTTGCCTGGCCCAGATACAGTTATATACAGGCTGCCGTAATATATACTGTAATACTGCTAAGTGCGGCATTGAAACAAACACATGCATTCTACTTGATACGTATCGACCATGTTTGTTTGATGCTGTAATAAGGAGGGTGCCACAGTGTGGTTATTTAAAAGGCTGGAGGATAAAGCTAAATGAATGTACGGCTTATATGATTAAACCACGAGATTTAACATCAAAGCAATTCATAAACATCGAAAATCACATATCAACATTGAAAAATTACTCAAAAATAGATGTTCCATAATAGCACCCAGGAAGCTCATTGAGTTACAAAGAGAAGATTACACAACATCACCACACAAAAGGGGGCACGGGTGGCCCAGTCGTCTAAGGCGCCGCGATTCGCTGTGCAGAGTTGCGTCCCTTGGGCACGCCAGAAACCTATGATTGTGGGTTCCAATCCCGGTTCGCCCTGATTATTTTTCCAGGTTTGTCAGCAGCTTACCCGTGCTCATGGTGGTAAATGTCTGAGACCTGCATCACTTGGGGCTTTCCTCCCACATTAAGCTGACACGCCGTGATATAACTGGAATACTGTTAAAAGCGGTGTTAAACACTCACTCATCCATCCACCCAATGTGATACCAGTTTCAGTATGTTTCTTCCCACCAAATTAATAAAAAATGCTTTTTTGTGATTGCATCAAACAGTCCATGTTTTTTCCTTATACAATTTTATGAGTGATATCCCTGTGTGACGATATTGTGTCCGTGTCATGGCATGCTATATGTAACAGAAATATGACATTAGCAGTACAAATGCATACATTTTGCAATATCTGAAACCTTATTTATCTTATTGAAGAATATGTGGAAATAATGAGATGGAAAAATCGAGAAATCAGAATCGGGACAAAACATGAGTAGTCCATTGTGGATATAGGGTTTACTCAACTCAAATCTTTGTCAACTTTTTCTTGCTGCACATAGATTTTTACACCATTCTACAATATAGGATACAATATAAGAAAAGAGATATTATCAGTTCGTACAGTATTCTGATCATAGAATGACTTGTCATCCCATCAAACACAGGATGTTCACAACATTTTCCGGGGGCACGGGTGGCCCATTCGTCTAAGGCGCCGCGATTCGCTGTGCAGAGTTGCGTCCCCTGGACACGCCAGAAACCTAGGATTGTGGGTTCGAATCCCGGTTCACCCCTATTATGTTTCTAGGTTTGTCAGCACCATACCCGTGCTCGTGGGTTTCACCGAAGTGGTAAACGTCTAAGACCTGCATCACTTCGGGCTTTCCTCCGACATTAAGCTGACACGCCGTGATATAACTGGAATAATGTTAAAAAAGCGGTGTTAAACCCAACTCACTCACTCACTCACAACATTTTCCTTCAATCATCATGGTCAGAGTTGTCTACCTTTTTTGCTGAGGTGAATCCAAATTGATTTCAATTATTTTTTTATTTTTAATTTTAAATAAGTCTTCGAAGAATTAGCAATGCTTTTCTTAGAGATAATAGGAGGAAAGTTGGATGATCTCTTGCGAGGACATTTGCAGGGTCTATGTATCGTCCATCATAGAAGATAAATCATTTTGTAATATAAAGAGCAGGTTTTAGTGTCAGCAAGTCTACAGATTGTGGTATGCCATCAAAGCCATTGTTGAGCTTAGTGTCCAGTTATATTTTGTGAAGACCATTCTTGGTGTTCCCCACTGTGATAAGAAGTATTAAGTTGTTTTTTTAATATTATCCGATCAGTAAAGCCACATATTTTTTATTTTTTGTTTCATGGACCTGCTATCCCTCCTGAAAAGCAGCCGGAAAAGAAACAAATTAAACATAAAAATAATTATTTTTTTATATGTCTCCCGCTAGTACTATAGACCCTCAATATAAAATGTTATTTATAAGTTCCATGTCTACATCACTATCAGTGATTCAAGAAGCCAGCTGCAGTTTTTAACTCCACAGCAGAACGATTTTCATATAAATAAATGATTGACATTGCTATTTATTTTTATGTTTATTTTGACTGACCTTGTGTGGAAAAGCTGGAATAAATCTGTTAACTTTATATTAAAGAAGTGTGGTCTAATAGTGGAACACTGCAAGTTTATTCTTTTTCTGTTTTATTTATTTTTGTATGGAATTTATGGTTTACCAAAACCTTGGCCTGGAGAGACCAGAACAAGTCTATATTTCATCTTTCACAGTAAGAAGTAAGGTGTTATTTTAGGCTAAGCAAGGTTGCTCTTCGATTTACATTAAAATTTGACAAAGTAGGATGAAAACACTTGAGCAAAGTATCAAACATACAGCATTCCATGTCTTGGGCATTTCGGGCGGTGGTCTAGCTTAGTGGTTAAAGCGTGGGCTCATCATGCCGAAGACCTGGGTTTCAATTCCCAATATGGGTACAATGTGTGTAGCCCATTTTCTAGTGTCCCTTGCCGTGATATTGCTGGAATATTGCTAAAAGGAGCGTAAAACAATACTCACTCGTGGGCATTTCTCAATTGTCATAATTTCTCTCGTTCTGCGTTCAATAATGGGAGTCTTTCTGATATAGTCATATATAATTACATCTTTATGAATATGTGCATATACACAGAAACATATTAAAATAGACACAGATGCATAGATACCTAGACACAAACACATATACATACATTGTCAGGTATATTATATAAACCATGTCTGCAGCCACACCCAGATGTACCATATTCAGGCAGCAATATATGCATACTGACAAACAGCGAACATGGGGAAACCATGTTTCAAGACTCTTGCAATTTGCTGTGCAGAGTTGCTTCCCTTAGGCATGCCAGAAAACCTAGGTTCGTGGGTTCAAATCCAGGCTTGCCCTACATTTGATTCTAGGTTGAATGTCTGAGACCTGCATCACTTTAGGCTTTCCTCTCGCAAGCTGACATGCCGTGGTGTAACAGGAATACTGTTTAATGTGGCATTAAGTCAGACTTCCGTCCTTCAGACAGAAAGCAATGATCACATGGTTATGTTTCTAGATTGGTCAGCACCTTACCAATGGCTACATCACTTTTCCTCCATCAAGCTGGAGTACTGTTGAAAGTGGTATAAAGCCCTTCTCACACATTAGTAAACACTGCATTCTTTATGCCTTCGTTTTCCTTCATCAAAATACCCAATACTTACAACTTCTTTGCTGCACACTTTGTAAAATAGGATAAATATAGGATTTATATCAAATGTATAACACAAGCTGATTTAAGTAGCAAAATGCTGAGGTTTGCAAATGATCTTTCTCTCGTGAAAGAACATAAATTTCTCAATAATCTGTTAGGAAAATCAGTTTTTTTCTGTATGACGTCAAATTTGAAAGCTGACATCCCATCCTAATGTCACTACACCATGACGTCACAGCAACGGAACATATTGACTTTGTACTCACTGCCATCCTCACTAGCCAAAGAGGACAGGATTTATTTACCGTATTTGACGTAATAAGCGCCACGGCCATATTTGCTAATATATTGGCTAGTGAACAATCCCAATTAGCACCCCTTTCAATTGATCAATGTACAAAAGACTTATTTATGCGCATATAATATGCACTCGTGTGTTATATGCACCCTTAGTTATGGGCAATCAAATTCTCGAAAAATATATCTGTCGTATATAAACATTTCAGGCTGTCAGCATAAAGCACAAAGTTTATCTTTCATCTCTGTTTCTTTTTCACCAAAATAATATTCTAATAAGAGCCCCCTTTTTCTAATTTTGAAAGCGCCCTGGGCGCTTATTACATCAAATACGGTATGTCACTTTAGAAGGAAATGAATGAAAATAAAGTAAAATATCATCTAAAATAGAATCATTTGTCAGATTTTACAATTTACGCCATAAATGCTTTTACGAAATGACCAATGGTGATCAGAAAGCCATATCACCTCTAAGATATTCTTTAATCTCACACAAAAGCAATATCTCCTGGTGTTGGATAATACCTGTTATTGTTCTCAATACCTTGTCCCCAAACCTCCATACACGTTCATTATGAGATGTTACGCTAGTTTAATCATTTCCAGGGCACGGGAGGACAGGTCGTCTAAGGCGCCGCAATTCACTGGGCAGAGTTGCGTCCCTTGGGCACACCAGAAACCTATGATTGTGGGAACAAATCCTGGTTCGCCCCGATTATGTTTCTAGGTTTGTCAGCACCATACCCGTGCTCGTGGGT